GGGAAATACTAAAAAATCGTCCCACCGATTTTTTGTTGGGACTATTTGGGGATATTCCTCCTGGCGAGCGACAGGCCCGACTTCATGGTAGTGGTACCTTTGTCTCTGGCGAGTGCCCTCGCAGCGCCGCCCTCGGTGCTGCGTGGCGGCCGCCCCGGCCCAGACCGCGGCGTGCGCAGCGCGATGATCTTCGCGCCCCCGCGGGGGGCCTGGACGCACGTCGGGCGGCACACGCGGGTAGATGCGAGGCGGGGATGTTTTCGGGCGGCAGACGCGGGTAGATGCGAGGCGGGGATGTTTTCGGGCGGCAGACGCGGGTAGATGCGAGGCGGGGATGTTTTCGGGCGGCAGACGCGGGTAGATGCGAGGCGGGGATTTTCTATACATATATATATATATATATATATATATATATATATCGTAGCACCCCGCAATTGCGGATAAGAGTGAGGGGGCGGGCGCGGGCGACGCGGGCGTCGTCGAGCCGGCGGACCTCGTGGCCCCCACCTTCCTTGTCGATGGCGCTCTCCTCCACCTCCTCCTCCTCCTCCTCTCCTCCTCCTCTTCCTCGTCCTCATCGTCATCGTCATCCTCCTCCTCCACCTCGTCCTCCTCCTCCTCTTCCTTCCTCTTCTTCCTCGTCCTCCCTCTCCCCCCCTCGTCTTTTCATCATGGTCCTCCCATTGTCGTCCTCCCCCTCATCGGCCTCCATCATCGTCCTCCCATTGTCGTCCATCATCATCATCATCCTCCCCATCCTCCCCCTCCTCGTCCTCCTCCTCCCCCTCCTCCCCCTCCTCCCCCTCGTCCTCCTGTTCCTCCTCCTTTTCTGTTTCCACGTTTGCCTTACATCCTCTCTTCTTCCACGTTCTCCTCGTCCCCTGTTTACTCATCCTGCCTCCCCCCTTTCCCAAGATAACTGCAACGCAATCTTTTTTCCCACTTTATGCTCCCCGCCTTCTCTGATCAAGGCAACTCGCCAGGGCAAAGTTGCTGGACGGGCTGGCGTGGATGTGCGGGGCGTGAAGAGGTCCTTGCGGGCTCAGACGGCATGCAAGAATCCGCCGCCGCGCTTGTGCGGCATTGGTTTGTTCAGTGAACGTGGTTTAGGTCGCGGGTGGGTCGCGGGCTCTCCACCTCCACCTGGAAGGAATGCAAAAGCAGCCCGCCGCAAGCGCCAAAAAATTGGTTCGTACACGGAACGAGGTTTGGGTCGCGGGTGGGCCGCGGGTTCTCCACAGGGAACGAATGCAAAGGATGCCCGCCGCAGGCGCCGAAAATGTGGTTTGTACCCTGAACGTGGTCGCGGGTGGGCCGCGGGCTCTCCACCTGAAACGAATGCAAAATATGCCCGCCGCAGGCGCCGAAAAATGTGGTTTGTACCCTGAACGTGGTTTGGGTCGCGGGTTGGTCGCGAGTTGGTCACGGGATGTGTCGCGGGCTCTCCACTTGGAAGGAATGCAAAAAAGCCCGCCGCAGGCGCCGAAAATTGTGGTTTGTACCTTGAACGTGGTTTGGGTCGAAGGTGGGTCGCGGGTGGGTCGCGGGGTAGGTCGCGGGTGGGTCGCGGGTGGGTCGCGGGTGGGTCGCGGGTGGGTCGCGGGTGGGTCGCGGGGTGGGCCGCGGGGGGGTCGCGGGGTGGGTCGCGGGTTGGGTCGCGGGGTGGGTCGCGGGGTGCGGTCGCGGGGTGGGTCGCGGGGTGGGTCGCGGGTGGGTCGCGGGTGGGTCGCGGGTGGTCGCGGGGTGGGTCGCGGGGTGGGTCGGGGTGGGTCGCGGGGCGGGTTGCGGGTGGGACGACGACAACAAACAACAACAACAACAAACAACAACAACAACAACAAGAATCCGCACCGCGGAATTCCACATCAGCCACGCACCCAGGGACAGTGAATGACCGTTCGGCCCCCCCACTCTGATATATATATATATATATATATATAAACACCTCGCTCGCCCGTCCAGGAGGCTTCTGCGTGTTAGGCGTAGCCATCATCAAGGCAGGCTCCCGCCTCGACGCGCACAGCACTGCGGCCGCACGGCACAGTCGAGAGCGAGGCCGAGGTCGGAGTCGAGGTCGAGGCGGGGATGTCTACACATCCACCGCCTGGGAACCGACGTCCTGGTGCCAAGGCGAGCGGTGGACATGGATATAGTTTCGGCCCCCGGGGGCCCGAGCATATGCACATCCGCACCGCCTGCCGAGGTCCCCGAAACTGATCCTCCAGGCGGTGGTCATGCATGAACTCCCGCCTCGGAGCAGAAGCGTGAAGCAGGAAGGCGGGTGACATGGATGGGGCGCAGGCCCTCCCAGAGCAAGACCGGGCACAGCAGACGCAGATCGACGACTGGAGCAGGAGGGCGCCCGAAGCAGATTGGCTGGGACCTTGAGGTCCAAAGATCGGGAGCGGCCAAGAGGGGGGTGTCCAAGAGGGGGGGGTGCAAATCATGGCCGGCGGCATGTGCGCGGCCCAGCGGGGGGGCCAGGGACGTCATGAAACAAGGAGAGGCGCCATGAGATCTGGGGAAAAATCATGGCCCCCGCCATGATATCCACCCCCCCTAGTCATCACCCCCCCTCTTTTCGGGGGAAAACAAACCTACCTCGCTTTTGACCACCCTCGCTTCCAAGAGATACCAAACGATGCCAAATTGCGGCCTGTACTGGTCAGGCCGCTTGACGAGGAGGCGCGTGGTATGGCTTGGTTTTGCCTGGAAGCGAAAGCGGGGGAGGTAATTCACGCTCTGATCTTTGCCGCCCCCGAAAATAGAATGCCTGCTCCCGACGACCGAAACGCTGCCGGGCTGGCCTATCGCGGGGGCCCGGATGTGGTGGCGCCCCCCGCCCTGCCGAGGGCCTCGGGGGTCGACCTCTCCGGGCAGCCGCTCTGGAGAGCCCCCGCTTCAGACGGTGCAGAAGTCAAGCAAGGGCTCCCAAGTTCGCGCTTCGCGCTGCGCGAAGCGCGAAGCGCGAATAACTTCGCGCTCTCGCGCCGCCCTCCCAAAGGGAGAATAGGAGGACGAGGAGGAGGGGGAGGAGGAACGAGGACCGCGAAGCGCGAAGCGCGAATAACTTCGCGCCCTCGGGGGAGCCCTTGTCAAGAGATCCATCCCCCGTCATCACCACCCCGACACGCGAAGTCGTTTAGCAAACGCGCCAAAGGAAGGAATCAAAAAGGGCAGGGCTGTGTAGTAAACGCCCAAGGCCGTTTTGTAGTAAACGCCAACTGTCCGGTCCGGGTGGTTTTTTTCCTCCCTGGACTGTGGGCGGACAGGCCGATGTTCGGGTGTTGCCAGAAGTACCCCTGGCCCAAGGTACCCCCAGGACTCCTCGGGGTGGCCCAGGCAGCCTCTGGGGCACCCCTCACGAGGCCCGGGGGGCCTCTGGGGCTCCAGAATGGAACGAGCAGCTGGAGGCACCTCGGGCCAGGGGCGCTTCTAGCAACACCCGAGACGTCAAGGGAGAACAAAACCATCCGGACCGGACAGTTGGCGTTTGCTGAACGGCCTTGGGCGTCTACTAAACAGCCCCGCCCTCTTTGATTCCTTCTCTGGGTGCGTTTACTAAACGGCTTCGCGTGTCGGGGTGGTTCCAATCGGGGTGGATGTTCTGCCCCCGACGACGGTGATCGCCCAGTTCGCCGTCCTCGGACGGACGCGCGGATGGCGAAAGGCAAATGCCCCGTTCTCGAACGGGCACACCTGGGGCCAAGCGCATCGGAAGCTCGAGCGGGCGAACGGTCTTCAAATGAGCCCACGCAAGATCCAATCCACCGTACTCGAGCACGCGCTCAGCAGGAGGGACAAATTCAGCGTCCCGTTGGCTCGCACACGCGCGGTGAGGGCCGACGGCGTCGCACTCCAGACGAGCGAACGGCGGTGATTGCCACGTGCGTCCTGTAGAGGGCGAACGGACGAGGACGGCCACGCGCAGCCTCAAGTGGGCGCAACTGGCACCAGGACGCCCTCGAGTGCATTCACGATGGGGAAGATCACACACGTCTACATAACAAAATCCAGTTGCATCTGCCTAACACTACCATGGTCACATTCAATCGAACAGTGTCAAGTTGAAGACACCCCGACAGATGAAATACCGAAGAATGCACCAGCATGGACAGTGTGCAATGACAAGCAAACGCATGCTAGCACACTCGCTCCATGCTCTGCTCAACGAACAACGATGCGCACAAAAAAACACCATGCCCGAACACGCTTTGCACACCCGCTGTGCACGAGCTGCCCTCAAGGCTGCGACTGCTGCTCGTGCTGAGAACCTGCGTTCACGATTTCTGGTAACCGTCGTTGCCCGGGGGGGGGGACGCAGCAACGCTTGGTTCGGGCCGGGCGAAAGGGGGGGATAGCAAAAGGGGGGTTTGAGAATCAGCTTGCGTATCTGATTTTCCCGGCGCCTCCCGGCGCCGGAGGCGACTATGTATCGAGGAATGGGCCCCTCGGTGGGGCCGAAACCAGCTGCATGCAGCAAATTTCGTAACCCCCCCTTTCCCAGTCCCCCCCTTTCGTTCGGCCCGCTTGGTCGGGGCTGGGGGGCGGCGCCGGGGCGGGCCGTGGACGGGGGGTGCGCTGCGATCGCCGTGCGCGAGCATCAACCTGTGAAGGGGGGGTCCGAACCCCTCCCCGAACAGCGCCTGGGTGCGACTACAGTCGGGGCGTTGACCTAAGGAACCCTAAATAAGGAACGAGGCCCCTGTTTTCCACAAGTTAAACTTCGATTTCCCATCGAAGACATAAGGAAAACCTGAGGCAAACTGTGAAACAATCAAGGAACACCGAGCCCCTCCCCAACGAAAAAGGTTCCTTCTTCAGCGCCTCCACCGTACGACCGCTACCTGGGGGGGGGGAGGGGAAGGGTGCAGCCCCAGAAGCGATGGCGACGTGCCGAAGGACAAGACAGCACTTTCGTGAACCGTCGAGGTCCCCGTCCTGCAGGCCCCGTTGCTGCTCCGCGGGCGAGCGCGCGCGCGCGCGCCGTGGCGGCGGGCCTGCTCGAGGGCCCGGAACCTCAACGCGTCGACGGGTATCTGCGCGCACTCCTCGCCCGCTTCGCGCGCGGCGCGCCGGCGCCCTCGGCATCGGAAGGCCTCCCGGGCAGGAACCTTCAGAGGTCGCGCGCGGCAGCGTTCTGCGGAGGAAGATCCCGAAAGGCCTCGCGCAGCAGCCTGAGATCCAATTTGCGTCGAATACGTCGGATCCACGGCGGGTTTGAGTCGGGTTCACCTCGGATGCACGTCGGACCTATACTGGCCATCGCTCGGACGTCCACTCCCTGTGCTTTTGGCGGTTTCGTGCGTGATTTTTTTCGCCAAATGATCAAGGATGCTCCTCGATGGTCCTCGTCGAAGGAAACATGCACACGTCCGAGCGATGCCAAGCATACGTCGGCTCATCGCCGCGGGAACGTCGTCCCACATCTGACGGGGCGGACCTGAAGACCAGATCTGCCTCCGTGCCCCCATCTGGCCATCGCTCGGACATCCACTCCCTGTGTTTTTGTTGCGGTATCGTGCGTGGTTTTCTCGCCAAATGATCAAGGATGCTCCTCGATGGTCCTCGCCGAGAGAAACATGCACACGTCCGAGCGATGCCAAGCCATGGCACTTTTGGGGCGTGCTGGAATGCCCGGTGTCGCCTGGCATGGTTTCTGTAATCTCCTACGGGCCCCTCCCCCATCTGCCAGCAGCAGGCCGCACGCATCGGCCCCCCTCCCCCGAGGCCGCAACCCTTCGCAACGTGCAGCGCAGCAAATTCGCGCTCCCAAGGCCACGATCCCATGCAAAATGAGATAGGTGTGCGCTCGCCAGGGTGGGATGTCTTGAAGACGCCCCAAGATGGCTCCACAACGGCCCACTTTGGCATCGAGACGGCCCAAGAGGCGCAAAGACGGCCCCAAAGAACCTCAAAACTGCCTAAGAGGGCCCCAAAACGGCCCAAGAGGGCCCCCAGGGGCCCTCAAGACTGCCTCATAGGAGACCCAGACAGCCACAAGACGCCCCAAACGAGATCCATGAGGGTTCCTCCACTCGTGAAGACGAGAAGTGTCACATGTGACGGCCTTGATCGTCCAACTCTCCATTCTGCTCCTCCTCCTCCTCCTCCTCCTCCTCCTCCTCCTCCTCCTTCACATCATCCTCATCATCCTCATCATCATCCTTTTATCCTCATCTTTATCTTCATCCCCCTCCCCCTTCCACTCCTCCACACCCTCCTCCACCTCCTCCTGCTCCTCCTCCTCCTCCCTCCTCATGACCACCACCGCAATCGCCACCACCATCATCATACTCATTATCATCACCACAAGCATCATCACCATCATGACCATCAGATTCACCATCACCACCACCACCACCATCATCAGCATCATCATCACTACCATCACCATCACCATCGCCATCACCATCATCAGCATCATCATCATCGTCATTATCAACATCAGCATCACCAGCTTCATCATAAGCATCCTCATCATCACCATCATCAGCATCACCATCACCATCACCAGCATCATCATCATCATCATCATCATCATCATCATCATCATCATCATCATCATCATCATCATCATCATCGTCACAATCACCACCACCATCATCATCATTATCATCATCAGCAACATCATCATTGCCATCACCACCGCGATTATCATCACCACCACGGTCTCCCCTAGCACCGCCGTCACCACCATCGTCATCATGATCATCATCATCATCATCATCATCATCATCATCATCATCATCATGATCATCATCAGCATCGTCATCATCATCATCAGCAACATCGTCAGCACCATCGTCATGATCGTCATCATCAGCATCATCATCATCAGCATCATCATCACGATCATCATCAACATTATCATCAACATCGTCATCTCTTCATCGCCAAAATCATCAGCAGCAGTACTGACATCATCATCATCATCATCATCATCAGCATCACCATAACCATCAACATCAGCATAACCAACTTAATCATCATCCTTAACAAAATCGCCATCAGTAGTCTCAATCTTACCAGCATCAACAACATCGTCATCATCACCATTATCATCATCACCTCATCATCACCACCGACATCTTCACCATTACCATCACCATCACCACCACCATCGCCATCATCATCATCATCATCATCATCATCATCATCATCACCATCACCACCACCACCATCATCATCAGCGTCAGTCAACATCAGCATCAACATCAGCATCAATATCGTCATCATCATCAACGTCATCATCATCAACATCAACACCATCATAATCACAATCATCATCACCACAACCCTCATCATCATCATCATCATCATCATCATCATCATCATCATCATCATCATCATCATCATCATCATAACCACCACCACCATCCTCATCGTCATCATTAACAACAACACGTCACCATCACGGGACCCCAAAACCTGGAGACACGAGTCGTCACCCGTGACGGCCTCCCGTGCCCCGTGAGATCAGCCCCTGACCCCTTAGCTTCGTGGGAAATCGGGCGCGCCGACTTTCTTTCGGTCGCGACCAAGAAGGGGTCGAATATCAATAGCGGAGAGACGGCGCGCATGGGTCCAAGCGATGGTCTCGAGGCCGTCGACGGCTCGTTCGTTGTCGGAATTCGCGACGGGAAGCTGGATTTCGTTCGAGACCAAATCGTCCGGAGCGCTACCGAAACTTGCCGGTAACGGATGAACTGGGTCGAGACTTCTGCGGGTTGTACTCAAAATCCCTTATTGATCATCCCCAAAGTCCGGTTTTTTAAGGCGCCTTTTTGGAACTGGGGGGGTCCGGTTAAGTAGGGCGCTTTCTCTGGATTGGATCTAAGGGAATTTGGTTTGTCAAGGCGCCCCGTCGAAGAGGGGGTCTGGAATATTAGGTCGCACTTGGAGGGGGGTCCGGTTTTTTAGGGGGGGTCGATTAATAAGGGATTTGGAGTTTTGCGCAACGTCAAGACATCGGATGTCTGGGGCCACGGTGTAACACGAAGGCTCGCCGCTTGGGCCCCACAGAGGCCGTGTGAACCAGGCGTGGACCCCTGCAGGACCTGCCAGGGCCGTGGGGTCGCCCGTGCGGCGTACCATATGGGCTGCAAGGTCCGATCGGCTCGGGATACGGCGAGGCCAGGCCAGCCCTGGGGAAGTGTTGAGGTAATGGAGAACGACGAGGAGGAGGAGGCGGAGGAGGAGGAGGAGGAGGTAACGGAGAGTACGGCGACCTCGATCCCCGACTGTGTGGGGTTGCTGCATGGACACAAGCAGTTTAGAGCCCAGTTCGGGGATGTGCGAAGGAGCAGTAGGACAACGTCCGAAGAGCCCTCCGAGAAGGTGTCACCGATTACCCCTTCTTCCCTGAGCGCCCAGATCTCTGATATTTTTTGGGGACCTCAGGAGGGAAGAGTGGAGGGAGGGGGAACTTGCCTTCGACGAGGGGTCGCGAGCCTGCGAGCATGAGGGAAATCGAGACGCCAGATGTCTGGGGTGTCCGAGGGTCGACTACACGCCAGAGTGGAGCGCGGCTTCAGGGGGCCGCGGGTATGCTCGATCCAACCGCGCAGGCCAGTGCTCGGAGGACCCACGTGAGCCCGCACCCAAAGGCCACTCCAGCGAAGGGTCACTCTCTCTGATAGCCGATAGAGGCGGCGCAGCGGCGTGGCTATGGCGGCTGGGGCTGGCCCTCCTCCCGGCTCCCAGAAGAGGCCTTCTATAAAACCGCCCCCTCGCGCCACCCCCTGCGCGCGCCGCCAACATCTCCGTCCTCCTCCTCCACGACCTCCTCCTCCCCGTCCTCCTGCTCCTCCTGCTCCTCCTGCTCCTCCTGCTCCTCCTGCTCCTCCTCCTCCTCCTCCTCCTCCTCCTCCTCTTCCTCCTCCAGCTCCTCCAGCTCCAGCTCCAGCTCCAGCTCCTCCTCCTCCTCCTCCTCCTCCTCCTAGCCCCGTCCTCGTCCACCCGTCCTCCTCTCCGTCGTCCTGTTCGTCCTCCTCTTCGTCTCCTCCCCTCCTCCTCCTCGCTCCTCCCCTCCTCCTCCTCCTCCTCTCCTCCTCCTCCTCCTCCTCGCTCCTCCTCCGCTCCCCCCCCCCTCCTCCTCACCCTCCCTCCCCACCCCCTCCCCCTCCTCCTCCTTCTCCTCCTCTTCCTCCTCCTCCTCCTCCTCCTCATCCTCCTCCCTCCTCCTCCTCTCCAACAAAGTCCCCCCCAAGTCCCCAAGTCCTTTTCCTTCTTCTCCCTCCTTCCCTCCTCCTCCTCCTCCTCTTCCTCCTCCTGCGCCCTCCGCCTCCGCCCTCCGCCTCCTCCTCCCTCCTCCTCCTCCTCCTGTCCTCTTCTACCTGCTTGCTACCCTCCTCATCCTCCTACCTCCTTCTCCTTCCTCGTCCTCGTCCTCGTCCCCACTCCTCGTCCTCCCCCTCCTCCTCCTCTTCCTCTTCCTCCTCCTCATCATCCTCCTCTTCCTCTTGTTATCATTACAGTATGCTTATTCTTATTATTAGTAAGTAGTATTGTTCTTATTGCTCGTATTAGTATTATTCGCCTGCTTCTTATTAATGATAACATTTGTATTACTACTAGTATTACTCCTCGTAGTATTATTCTTGTTCGTCTTCTTCTTCCGCCTCCTCCTCCTCCTCCTCCTCCGCCGCCT